TAATGGGCAGGTAAGGTAGACAGCGTGAGTACACTGGACAAAGGGATGATTCGCGGCCCAGGCAGGACAGAGCAGGATGGCGTGAGGTTTCATCATGCTCCTCAGAACAGTGTATAATTTAAAACTTATGAATCGTTTGATTGTTTCTTCAACATTCCATTTCGTATTTTTTGGACCACGGATAATTGAATGGATAGTTGAACACGGATAATTGAAACCTCAGAAAGTGAAACTGGGGATAAGGGAGGACTAGTGTATAAGGAAACAATGAAAAAGACAGTGTGTAAGGTATCCCAGAAACTTCTGCATTGCCCTATGTGTTTATTTATGATTATGAGGTGCCCGTGCCTGGGAGTTTCCTCTACTCATTCATAGAATGTGAGTCGCTGTATTAAGCACATAAGTCACTGCGTAAAGGTAGTGCTTTTGAAATTGTCTTTGCAGTCTGTGGCCTTGGCTGGAATGGAAATACTAAATTTGTCATTCATATACAGTCATTTCCTTTCTCAATTGAAGCAATAGATTTTTAACGTGGCTGACTTTCTGTAACCAAATAACCAGAGAAGGCAATCCATTTTGTTTGACAGAGAGAGAGAGAGAGAGAGAGAGAGAGAGAGAGAGAGAGAGAGAGAGAGAGAGAATATGAATTAGTAAAAGGAACCCAATTCAAGTCCCTAGGCAGTACATTTAAGTACTAAAGGATGAGCTCTCTTTAAGTACAATTCCTGCTTTTGGTTATCTCTGAATATATTCAACATAAAGTTTTGAATATGTAATCTCATGCCTAAGGTCACTGAAATACAACCAAAAAAGAATGTTTGATGCAAAAATCAATTACTTGATCATAATATGGAGCACAAAATGAGGTAGTTCCTTGGACTTGATTATGGGAAAACCTATTCTAATAGTAATACCCAGCACTTACATAGGACCACCCATGCTGCAGGCATGGTTCTAGGCACCCAACTCTCACCTCTTAACAGACAGTAAGTTACCTTATTTTATCCTCCAACATCCCAATGAGGTAGATAACATTATTCCCATGTTACAGAAGAAGGAATTGAGGCACAGAGAGGTTAGCTTATTTGTCCAACGTCACACAATTTATAAGATGAACATGGAATTTATCTTCTAAAATGAGACTTTTGAGAGTGATAGGGCGTGCTGTTCATAATTATACAAAACAGCAGAGATAAACTGAGACTGTCCCCTACCCCCCAAAAAAATTTTAAAAAATACTAAAACATAATAGTTACCCTAAAATATGAGGAATTTGAATCCAGGGCTTAGATAAGGAGCCCACACTTAAGCTACTCTGGTAAGCTACCATTTTTCTTTATTGATCCTCATTCGCCCATTTTGCTCATTCCTGTAGCATTTATCCACATACTCTTCCTTTCTAGTCTTTTTCATTCCACATGCCATACACTTTTGTCCAGGAGGCAACTGATGTACACATTAATTAAGTCCAACCTGTATGTGTACCATTCACATTACAAGGATAACTAAGTCAGGATTTCAATCTTCCAGGATCTGATAAAGGCAAAGGAGTGAAACCTCATAATTTTCCCAAGGAATAAGGTTAGAAGCACCACCCTGCTTCAGTGCACCAAAAAAGGGCTCAGTGGTTAAAAAACAAACAAACCAACCAAACAAACACCATAAAAAATCAGCTCACATGCTTTTAGACCCATCTGCAAAAATTCCCTATTCTTTCTGAAGAGCAAACATCTGTCCTGAACCTGAATCCTTTGAGAACTTGGCCTATAATAGACATGATGCTCTCAAAGGAATTTGGTGCTGTATATCCAAATTCAAAATTAAAATATTAAAATTGCAAAATGGAAAGGCAGCTGGTTTCGCTCTGAGGTTTATCAGTGATGAGTCACCTGTTTTCATTGCATACGAAATCAAATCTAGTGTTGTAATGAAACCACCATACAGTAAATTAAGGGTAGTTCTTGGGACATTCAAGATGTGCCTATTTGTTCACAGACACTGTGTCCTTTGAGTTTTTTTTCTATGTACTTTTATCTTCTGTAAGAAAGGTGTTTTCTCAGTTTTTGAGGAAAGATGCTCTATTATCTAAACACACAATGACTAGTTTTAATGCAGCAGCTATTACAGAACAATGGCACATAGATTTGCACTCACGCTTTGCATTTATGTCACTTTGTCAGCACTGGACACATATAGATGCTTGACCTAATTTAAGACATTCATTTTCAATCTTACCTCTTTGTTATTAACACATGAATGTTCCAATTCCCTAAAGACTGTAAATGCACCTAAATTTTACCTAAGGGTTTTGGGCAGTTAAATTCAGTGAAAGAATTGTAGATTGGATTGGTTCAAATGCCTGGTAGAAGGATTGAAAAAAAGAAGGAAATAAAAGTCATTTATAATTTATTTTTGCCATGTGGAAATAGGTTTTCTGATTAACCAATGTAGGGTCATGAAGAACCATACTGTCATCTTAGGCATATTCCTAGGTATGTTTAAGGTAAAGATATACAATTTTAAATACAGTAATACCTTGGTTTGCAAGCATAATTTGCTCTGGAAGCAAACTACTTGTGTTGCAAGACATCTCTCATTTACCCAGGTAAAATGTATTAGAAATGTTTGCTCATCTTGTGGAACACTCGCAAACCAAGTTACTCGCAATCCAAGGTTTTACTGTACTTCGTATTTTAAGGAACATGTATACTGATGATTTAAAGCTAGTACTTGAATCTTACCAGTGTATGAAGTCATATCCCTTTTTATAATGTTTTTATTGAAAATGTCATCTTATTTAAAGTTACATTCCTACTAAAATTAATGAATAAATGTTTGGCTTTTTGTACTCTTTATATTCAAGACTATGCCTTTTAAAGGACTTTTGCACAAATTAAATAGGGATCCTAATTGATTTTTATGTTCCTTTAACTTAAATTGTGTTAAAAAATGCAATCCAATCTATAGTGTCATAATTTAACAGCCAATATACCTCTAATTGAAGAAGGAATGCATTTTATAAAGTGAGATACATGCATGTATAAACATACTATTTTTATATATTTAATAATGTGATATTAGACTAGCATTTATTCAGGATAAAGTGATATATAGTTGATAGAGCACATATTTTCTCTATTTGTTATTCCTTCTTTTCATTTATTTGTTTTTTGTTTTCTATCCACTAAATATAGAAACAGAAGAATTATTAGATCTCAAGGCCCATCAATATATCTCTTGTTTATTTTCCTTTATAGTAGAAACCAGTTGTATGACAGTCAAAATAACAAACAAACAAACAAACAAACAAACAAACAAACAAACCTTCATTTTTTTCCATCAGTTTTTAGAGCAGAGAGGTGAAATAAATTTCCTCTAACACCAAGACAACCAAAGTTGCAGTCAAGGAATTTGGAAGTAGATGAACTTAGTTTTACATATTAAATAGAGCTTACAGGACACTTAAGAAACAGTGTGCCACCAATGTGCTGACCTGTCTATCTATATGCAGTGGAGGTTTTAGACCCTTTAGGAGACATGAACTGGGTTGTTTATGGATAACAAAGACTACGTTGTTTGAAAAAAATAAAAAAACCCAAATAATTAGAGCTGTTATCCAAAAACAACATTTGACATCCATAACTAATTTACGTTTTACCAAGCACCCTCTTTCCTTCAACATTTAGTTACAAAATCCTTTTTTAGGTTTATTATATTAAATTACAGGCCAAATGAAATTCCATCCTATGCTGATAATGGATGTGTATAATAGCCTGAAAGAGCTTTAATAAAGTAGAATAATACATAACCAATTTAATTTGGAAATAAGCCAGTGGTTCAGTACTATATTTATACAGCTGATATTGTTAAATTCTTAATTTTCATCCTCTCTTGATTGAAATTACAAGCTTCTTTAGAATGAAATCTACTTATGAAGAGCCTAATGGTTTCTCACTTCACCTGTTCTATTGTGATAGTTTTAAAGTTTCTCCATCAGCTTTTCATTTAAATCCTGCATAAGACACATGAAACTTTGATGTAAAATAAGTATAGACCTACATAAAATTTATACAAATTATAATTCTTAATGTGTATAATCAATAAGTGCTTAATCATCTATCATCCTAGTTTTATGTGTGTGTATATGTGTGTGTGTGCATTTGTGTGTGTATATATTATATATAATATATTATATATACATATATATATATATATATTATATATATAATAAAATCATTGAATATATAACAAAAACATGTTCAGGAATCACCAAACATATCATTCATTGTTTTATCAATACACATTAAAATACTTACTGCACATAAAGACACAATTCTTTGTTCACATGAACACATTTATTACTTTCAATTGTGGGGTTAATTTTAAGAATTGTTATTATTAATCTATTTGTTAATATCTCTGCATATTATTTTAGCTGTATGGTTATAGCATTAGTGGTGCTTGATTATTTGGGTTCTACTGTTCTTTCTCCTGGAGCAATATAGAATTATTTTCCATGTCTTTCTGGTATCCCATCTAATTCATGAAAACTTTGTTCCAAAGAAAATGTTCAGATGTAAATGCAGAAAATTTGGTCTGAAGACCAAACTCCAATTTAAATACAATATTTAGTCTATGAATCAAGTGTGTTAATCAAAATATTTAACCAAAAATACCGGATGGGCTTCTAACAATTGGAATGGAGGCCAGCCAACCATGAACAACCAGTGTAGCAGCACTGGCCAGTACGCTTAGCATATCCACCCAACCATTGACCATCATTGTATGATTCCTGCTGAAAGCAACAGAAGCCTAGATTAACCTAAAAGAATCAGCAACTTTAATGAATATTGTCTCATAATAAGAAATGTCTGTTTTGTAACTCTGATAAATATAATTTTGACTCAAAATTTTAGTTTGAATGCATTGCAAGGTTGAATTTGATCAATATTGATTACACTGCAAGATTTTAGTTGACATTATTGTTTCTTTTTTAATAGTGGCTAGCATTCAGAAGCTTCCCGCAGCCTCTGTTCTAACAGACATCAACTTCCCAATGAAAGGACGGAAGGGAATGGTTGACTGGGCAAGAAACTCAGAAGATAGGGTAGTCATTCCAAAAAGCATTTTTACTCCTGTGTCATCAAAAGGTAAATATGTGAGATAATTTGGGCTTGAATAACACACTCAATAAGATCATTTAATAAAACACTAAGCATAAATCTCCATATATTACATAATTTATAGCCTCTAAAATTAATGTCCGTTTTCAACAGTGACATTGTGGTCTTACTTGTACCTTGTTGATTTTGACCTTCTGACTTAGAGCCCCAAAAGAGAATTGACTGTCTTTCCCCTTATCACGGAATTTAAACTCATTAGCTGCAACTAAAGCAGCTCCTTCCCTTAGCCTGATGAAGGACAGTTACTTCGTGACACAAAACCACTGAAAGCACATCTTTTAGAGTTATAGTTAATGTGTGCCGTGTGGGGGCTAAGCTGTCCTAATCATGGTTAGGAAAACCTCTCTTCTATCCAGCTTTCATCAGCAAGTCCTAGAATCCCCTCTTGTAATTAGCAGATTCAAGTTTTATAAGACATAGTATTTTTCTTGCTGTTTAACTAACTTTTTAAAAAATTTCTTCTTTCTAGAATTAGATGAATCATCAGTATTTGTTCTTGGAGCCGTCTTGTACAAAAACTTAGATCTAATTTTGCCCACTCTGAGGTAAGCTACAAAGTAATAAACTGTTGTAATCTTTGTGAACTATTCCAAAAATGTGATTATAGCTCATTCTATGAAAATAGTCAAACAAGCTCTGGTAATACAAAGGGCTTTTTCCTAAATGAAATAAAAAATACCAATTTAATGAACAGCTTATTAGCATATTATGCATTTCAAAACAACTAGGAAAGACAATTTTGGTCTGTAATTATAGCCCTGCAATTCTTTTGTAACTAATCATGACTTGCCTTAAGACTGAGGGGGAAAAAAAAGAAAAAAGAAAAAGCTCAAGTCTCTATAATAGAATAGGCTATTTTAAAATTAATCTGTCTTCTCTCTTTATTTGTACTTAATGGTACTGTTCATCAATATTACTTGAAACTAAAGGAGTGGCATGATGGCTGGGAATACATGTTTTGTTTTTACTTGCACAAGATTTCAATTTGCTTCTAAATATTCAATTACAGTTGCATTAAGAAAAATCGTATTGTTCAATTAGAAGACTATTTTTAGATTTCTTTCCTCCCAGTCATTAAAAGAAACAATTACAAATAGTAATTCTAGCAACATTCATTTATTTGCTCTGCTGTCTTGTCTTAACTACTTCACCTGATTTCACAGAAAACATTCACATCTGTTTGAATAGTGGTGTTATCACTCATGATGACCTGTTTCCTCCACCCCGCCTCATTTCGGAGGCCTGAGACAAAGTTATATGTTTGTTAAACAAAGCCACATTTCAGTGAGCTCTTACTCATACCCTCATGAATATAGCTTCACACTTGTAGGGAGGAGAGACTGTGAATGATGTATACAGTTATACCAAGGGCATAACAAATGGTCTAATAAATAAAACCAATTAGAGCTCAGTCCAGTAGAAAAAGGCCTCCCGAGGAAGCAACTATGATTTTGCAGCTGCAGTGACTAGTTACAATTCCTTGGAGAAAATCTTTCTATGTGCAGCAAATTATTAATACAGTTGGTGAGTCATTGAGAGTCCCTCTCAGTACAATGCAGGTTCTCCTTTAACCACAGGGACTAATATGGGAAGTTAAGCTTTCTTCAACTCCCTTCTCTGGAAGGGATGTGGGCTGTCTGAATCTGAATAGGTTTGCACATGATTTTGTTCTACTAATAACAGGTTCTCCAAACTGATAACTTTACTCTGAATTTTTCCACTGGTTGCATTAAAACACATTGGTATGTACAACTACTCACAGATAAAATAGATTTAAAGTCACACCGATTCTATCTTTATGTGTGATGTTCATTTGAGGAGAAATATGCTAGAGTTAAAAATATGTCTAGATACACAGATACTTATTTCCACAGGGAGTTTGTTTGTGTAAAGCTCATCTTTTAAGAATTCCAGAGTAAAAAAAAAAAAAGAATTCCAGAGTAAACCCTACTTATAATCAGGTGACTTAGGTTTTAATTTCAATTTTAACATAACAAAAAATTTATAAACTTGTCCAGTCATTCAGCAATCATCTGCCTTCGGTTCACCATGAAAATAGAAGCACCTTTATGGGACATATTCACCTTATTTGCTGCTGAGGGATATAGTGAATGCAAATAAAATATGCATCATAAAATGCTTCAGATTATGAATTCATTTCCCTACGTGTCTAACAAAGTTGCATTATGATTAATCTTGTTTTGCATAATACCATAGAACTTACCTACACCAATGAAATCAGGTTATTCCAAGTTTCATAAATTTGTATAGTCAAGGGAATTGAAAATTTGTCTAGTGATATCAGCTTTTTGTAAAAAGAAAAAAAATGCATTCATTTAGTGTTTCAACTTTTTTAAATGTTGAAATGCAGAGGCAGCGGTCACTTACAGCTTATGGGTAGAATCAATGGATACATTGTGGGTGATTTAATGGACAAAGCAGGGAACTGTTCAGAGCACTGGGTCCCCTGATACCACCTGTGTCACATAGGGTTTCAGATTTGCCTTGGGGCAAGTCCCTGACTTTTTTTTAACATGTAAACAGTGGGGTTGAACTCAAAAGTTTTTTTCCACCTTCAGGAATTCCCTGTCCTTATTACAGTAAAATTATGGAATTTTAGAGTTCTGACATATTCTTTAGCTTGAAGTCCTTAATAACCTTTGTATGAGAATTATAAATATGTATCCTTACTCATGTTTTCTATGTTTAATTACCTAAATGACTATAGGAAAACAATAGTCACATTTAGATCCATTGACCAGAAATAATGACAATAGAATGCTCAAGATGAAATGTTTAAGTACTATTTGAAAGGTGACATATGAGCATTTACTTTGCATTTTCTTTTACTTCATACAGTAAAATAATGTAACTAAGCACTTTTAGGCTTGTTATTTTTCCTTTTCAAAATATTGTTCCAGAAAGCTTAGTGAGTAAACCACACCAAATATAGAACTGCTAAATGAGAGTAAACCTTTTTAAGGGACAAGGGTGTTTTATACTCAGTCAATCAACAAACATTTGCTAAGCCGCAACCCTGCTAACCTTATTGTCTTAATTATTTTAAATTACTGTCAAAACTCCCAGAACAGTGTTTAATAAATAATAAAGCTCCCAGAAGTATTTACTGGAATTATTGTCTCATCTGATAAAATATCCTATGTAAACCATTTTTTAAAATAAGGTACTTAGAAATTTGGTGTTTATACTATAAAGAATATTTTTGGAACAGAGGGATAAAAATACATCTATCTTGTTTTACTATATGACTTTCACTCTGAAATGAACCCAATGGGAAAAGAAATATCTTCTTATTCAGAAGAAAAAAATATACAAGTTTTCTCTGTATGTTTACTTATTACTTACCAGATTTTAATGACATGTTTTCTTTTTTACTAATTATATGTTGAAATTTTTGGAGCCAAGTTTCCCATACACAAATAATGTTAAGCTTGCTGTTAAGTTTCCAGAGATTTTGTATTTTGATATAATCATTTTCAAAACAATACTTTGCGTAATTTCCCTCTTGGGGACTAGGAAGAACTTGACATAATGCTTATAGTAGATATGATTTAGAAATTTTCCTTCATAGAAAAGAGAAATAACTGCATGTTGACTCTTTTATTTAGATATGTCTTTTCTTCTCTTGCCTTAGTATGTATTCAGTATTCTTCAAGCTGCAATTTGTATTTTACTGTTTATCTTCCCTTTTACAATTAAGCATATTCAAATTGTCCCTTCAACTGAAGGAATTATGCTCTACTGGAATCCAAACTAAATATGTGCTATTATCAGCCTCCCACTTTCATTCTTCTTCAGAATAATTTCTTACAGTTGAACAGCACAGAATCAGTGGATATTAGTGTGTGAGGCCCTTTTAAGATGAGTACCCTCCTGCACGCTGATTATACACCTGAGAACACTGAGCTCCTTGTTACTTCAGTCATCTGCCCAGGGCTCCATGTCCAGTGGGTGACTGAGTTCAAATCAAGTCTTGTGTCTGCCAAAACCAGGATTCTTCCACTGTCTGGCTTCCTCTAGGATGATCATATCCATTTCTTTAAGAAGTACAAACCATGCACTGCTATATCAGTGTGAATACACAGCTGTTTTCTGCAGAAAATCTTAAGTCCCAGTAGGAGGTGACCATGTGTGGGCAGCCCCAAGGAGCCTTGGTGCCCCCAACTTAGGCTATTGACACCAAGGCCTGAGGCTGTCACTCTTCCCACCTCCTGATGACCACTGTTGATCCTGATAGATGAAGACTGGCCAGCCAAGGCCAGAGGGTCCTCAAGGGAAGGTGAGACCTGCTACGCACAGGCCCTGCTCATATCAAGGAACTAACAACTCAAAGTCCAGTGAGCACTTCAACTGGTGGGGATTTTTAACTGTAGTGACCTTTTAGTAGGACCATTTGACAATATCAAGAGGCTTTAAAAATGCACTGTCATTAATACAGCAATGCCACCTCTAAGATTTTATATTATGGAAATCAACTCTAAGGAAAAAAATACGTATCGAAGCACACACTCAAGCCAAAGAGTTCAAGAAAGAGTTGTAAACCATCTATTTCCTGATTCATTTAATAAAGTCAAGTTCCAGTTTTATAGGAAAATCACAATACTTTTGAGTATGGGAGCAATGTGTGGTTTTCCTGGTAGGACATATAGAAGATGTAGTACTGTTAAAAAAACAAAAACAAAAAAACAAAACAAAAACCAAACAACAACAACAAAAAACACTTAAATGGAGCTATTAACATTTAAGGTATTGCAAAGAATCTAATTAAAATTATATGCAAATTCCACTATAGTCTTAAAATGTCAGGAAAAATGCATCTGAACAGAAAGTGATTTAAAAGTCAGTGATTGAAAATTATCTTTCAAAAAGGAACAAGTTTCAATAATGCAAAATCACATGTATTTGCTGTCAAGTACGCCCACCTAATGAAGATAAATCATGCTGAACTTTTTTCATATTTAGGAAATGGAACTCATTTGAGTTTCCATTATTATAGGAATTAACAGCAATTGGGAAAAGCAATTAAACTAAATAATATTAGAAATAATAGAAAAGCAAAATCATAATCACTTTAATAGCGATACACCCTGAAGGCAAGCAACCGGAAGTAGTGAGCTCTCACAAAAGCACCTGTTCTTCACTTGCAGGACCCAAGCTTCTTCATTCTGAGTTTACAATGAGATGCTGTAGTTTTGTGATGCTCTGTATCTTTCTATAATGTCCTCTTATGGGGAAATCGTCCATGGAGATAACAAATTTGCATAATTTGCAAACAAATTTGACTAATACTATGAAATATTGTAATATCACATAGTCATTACAGTATTTACAAAAGTCTGAGTTTAATTTGGCTATACCTTTTAAAAGCAAACTTAAATCCCTGATTACTTAACTTCTTTGTGGTTCCAAGTTGTTACATCCTTAGCATATCTAACTTGAAATTCTATTTAGTTTTCAAATCTCAGTTAGCCCCACCCTACTTTTTAGCAGCCATTAGCTGATTTTAGTTGTAAAACAAATCTAT